TCTCTCTCCCCCCCCCCATCTTTCCTGTCACGCTGTGAGAGTGACATGTGTGTGCAGGCAGAGGGAGTGAAGGGTTTATTCACGTCGCAGGTTACAATCCATCATCAAGGGGAGCCAAGGCAAGATCCCAAGGAGGGGGCTTGAAACCACAGAGGAAAGCTGCTTGCTGCTATGTTCAGCTAGATTTCCTCTATGGCCCAGGTTCATATGCTATGGATGGTGCTATCCACAGAGGGCTAAGCCCTCCTCAAACAATTAGCAATCCAAAACAATGCCAAAGAAACATACCTGTAATGCAGTTTGATGGAGTCAGTTCTTGAACAATGTATCAAGTAGACAGCAAAGATTAAACATCACAGCAAGACCTAAGGTGGAAAACATAAACCTCTGCTCACTGCATAGAAAACTGAGCCTCCATGAATAGAATTCAATGTTTAAAATGAAATTTCAATTTTAGGAAGAATCGTTTAAAAGGACTTATGTCAGGAAATAATACTATGCTTAAAACAATGAGCGACAATAAGCCCAAGCCATAAAAGAAAAGTTGGTAAATTTGACTTCTTAAAGCCCCTTCCAGAGGCTGCAGCATGGACATGGGGAGTGAGTGTTGGCTGCCAGCATGTCTGACCAGTCTTCCAGCGTTTTTGTGGAGGAGTTCCCTTTAGAAGCCTTACCCCTTACTACGGAGGCTAGGCCCCAAATACGAACCTGAGTTAGTCAATACCATGCTAGAATTTATGTTCTAAAGAAATTGAGGAGTCCAGTCTGCTTGATAATTTGGGAAAGTCCGTATCCCTTTTTCAGAGCCATAGATGTTGCAAGTCTCTGAAGCAGCCCCAGACACATTGTCTAATGACAGCATTCTTAGTGACACACACCACAGTGCCCCGTTCATCACGGCAGTGTCAGCGGTGTCTTCTCTGGTATAATTTGACTCTGGAGTTTGATTTGTTTCCTAGTACTGCTGTCTCAACTCCTGCTTCTATGACCCTCAGAGAAACTTCAAATAAACCGTTTTGCTTTGAAAGCAATAGGAAGCTTCTAGCTGTTGTTTACAACGAAGACCACACGGAAGTCATCCCAGTTCCTCCTGTTTTAGGAAGAAATTTTGCTCATCACAGGATGCATGGAGTAAGTAATGTACAGTTTGGTGGTCTGGAGGAGACACCCCACTCTTGCTGACAGGTACAGTGTGCTTGCTGTTTAATCCTTTCTTCATTTTTTTAAAAGAGTCCCATTTTCTGCCTACGGACACTTTTCCACCATAGTTACTAAGACATAATGTAATTATTTGAATTTCAAATATTCAATTATAGAGAAAGGCCAAATTCTTAACTAATTTCTAGCTAATCTACTCCTACTTAAGAAACCAAAGACTGGTATTTCACTCTATTTTAGCCATCCATGTCCATAAAGAGGCCACTGAAATTCATCTTGACCATGAGATCTAAAGCTGATTCACATGCAGTTGTTGAGTAGCAGCACCCCTTCCTTTCAATCTCTAATGGAACCATTTTCTCAAGAATATTAGTAGATAGGATTAAGAATTCAATAGATATTCTTGGTTCTTATTGTGACTAGATCTTGAAATAACAAACCCCAAAAATAGAGGGCACACCTGGGGGTCATTTTTGCTTAATGTGAAGTAGAAATAGAAAGAACTACTTTAGTCTGAGTTTTTGAGGTAGGAAGTCACATCTTTAATGCAGATCTTTAATCCAGATATAGTCTGGACCACTTCTGCTAGAACCCTATATAAGGACATGAAAGAAGGAAGCTTTTACTCTATCTCTCTTTGCTCTTGCCTTGTTAGCACATCCATTCCTTCACTGGTACTGAGGCCTACTTCTATAAGATTCCAGCATACACCTCATCTTCTGAACTGAGTAACTCCTAATAAATCTCCTTTCAATATATAGACAGATTTATTTTAAAATTTCCATTACTCATGAGTGCCATGACTAATACACAGGCATGTAGAGAGAACAGTCTAGAGCATGTTGAGTCTCATAACACTCTCAGCTCATTTACAAATTCACAACAGTCACCTTCCCTTAACCTTAGTCTTCCCAAGGTACTTGTTCACTTCAGAGGACTCAACCCTCACCCTCTGTATTATCTTGACCTAATTTTTTGGCATGCTTTATTTCTCATACAATTGCGTATGGATGTTAAGGAGGGAAGGACCATTCTTGGACAGTGCTTAAAAAGTGAGCATTCAACTCTCCATGGGTGAAGCAGTGAAATGATTCTAATAAAGCAGAGAAATCTCTACCTTTGGAAGGAGGAGGTGCTAAATGACTTCCCCTGTGTCACAGGAGACTCATGGAAAGGAAACCTTCTATTCTGTTCATAGACAAATAATTAGCAAGGAGGCAAAGGCTGTGCCTGTGACATAATCAGCAGTCCCTTCTTTGAAAATTCTGTTGTATCCTGGAGTCTTCTTAGCATCCCCTGTGATGTCACTAGTGTTGTAGCAACACCAAGTGCCCTCAGGACATTTGCTCAATGCCTATATGGTTTTCTTATAAACAAGTTGTCAAGACTGAGGAGTCCACTTGGGAGAGAGAATGGACAGCATGGAGAGACAAGAGTGGGGAAGAAGCAGGCTGTCGGTCTCATTGGAAAATATGGAGAAATAAATGGTCCTGGGAAAGACACAGTGAGTTCAGGGGAGGGACTAGGAAGCTTTCTGGATGTGATGGCCTTGAGTCTTCCAGGACTAGAGCTCAGGAATTGGGGGTTTCGAGGATGCAATGGGCCTATCTTGCTTCTCTGACTTCCTAAAGGGCTGATCCACATCAATGATTAACAATGGTTAGTTTGACAGAGTCAGGAATTGACAAGGCTGGAAGCCCTCTCCTTTCACTCTGAGTGAAGAAGGAGACACAAATGAATTAATGAGATTTTAATACCATTACTGCACTTTTCCCCAACTGGAGTCCTTTAAGTTGTGTGCTAGTAATAATAGGGAAGGGAGAGTGTCCTGGCAAAGC